AAAATTTTATGTGAATATTTTTATCACTTATCTAGGTGAATAGCAGCTATAAGGCAGTAGTATTTGATATTATCATCTAGGTGATGTAATGCTGACAGAATTTCAGCTTGGGAGACTAATTTTTTCTTTGCTCTTTACATAGCTAAGCACTAATACAGGGTGGAAAAAGGAAGTCACTTAACAGGTTCATTTATATTTTATATTATATTATCAAAAGATTATGTGTCATTAGCTACTACTTTATTAGAGAACCACTTTGGAAATTTTAGTTCTTGCTCTTAGAAAGTTTCATTCTGGCCATAAAAGAGATATAAGCAAAATACAGATATATTGCATGAAGTGAAGAGATGTTTAACTTAAATAGTATAGAAGAGTAATTTTAGAATAATATTGGATTCTAGAAATCACATGCTATTTTTAGGTGCTGAAAATGAGGCAGTTTAGTGGGTAAGATATCACATAGCTGGTAGTAGCAGATCACCTTTTAGTCTATCAAACTTTTATTTCTTTTCTGGAATTAAGTTTCTTCAAGATACAAATTAGTCAGTTTCTTGTAATGTGATTTGCTTTTGTGGTTATTTTGAAAGGAAATGGGAATATCTTGGAAATGATTATTTATTACATTAGAGATTGTTTCTAAAGGCATGATCAGCTCGTAGTTTTGTCTTTTTAATTTTCCTGTTGAGTACGGGTTAAAGACTAAGTAAGCCTTGCTAGCAGTTAACCTGTGTTTAAGTAAAAGTGATGTTCAAGTAATATTTCAAATAACCAGTTAAACACTTCTGTTATTATTTTTTTTCTTTACTTATTTTTAGAGAAAGAGGAAGGGAAAGGGAGAGAGAGAGAGAAACATCAATGAGAAAGAACATCCACTGACTGCCTTTTGCATGCCCCCCACTGGGGATCGGGCCCACAACCTGGGGATGTGCACTGACCAGGAATCAAACCAGCGACCTCTTGGTGCATGGGTCAGTGATCAACCACTGAGCCACATCAGCCGGGCTCTTCTGTTATTTTTTAAAGATATTTTAATTGATTTTTTTTAGAGTGAGAGGAAGGGAAAGGGAGAGAGAGAAACATCCATCGGCTGCCTCCTGCACACCCCCTTCTGGGGATTGAGCCTGAAACCCAGGCATGTGCTCCGACCATAATTGAACCAGCACCTTTCCTTGCATGAGATGATGCCCAATCAACTGAGCCACATCAGCCACATTTGTTATTTTTAATTAAATTCGATGCTTTTTATAGATGCAGACATTATTTAATTATTTAAATAAAATTCTAGGATATACAGAAAATTTACATGAGAGTTTGTTTGGAAGTTCTAATAACAGAATCCACCTCCTTCTAATAGAAGCTAATCTTTTGAATATGAATAATTCAGTGCTTGATTTAAGAACTTCACTTTGGAAATGATGCACGTGGAAGAGGAGGGAAGGCAGAAACAAGCCAAGTCATCCTCACATCTGGTTGGTTGAATAGATAGAGTATGATGAAGATACTACTAGTATTTTAAAACCCTGCAAGTTATTATAATATGTCATTCTATTAATTGTTTAGTTTCTCAGTTTGTAATCTGGGAATCTTGTCATTGTCTCTTGGGTAAAAGTCTTGTAGATATCATATCCTACCCAGAGCAGGAGTGCTAAGGACTTAGTACCCATTCCTTTGCTATTTAACCTAATTACAGATTTTTAATTTTTCTTTAACTTTGTTTCCTTTCCTCTAAAATGGGACTTTGTTATATTCCTTTGGTTTTTGACAGCTCTACTTTCCTAGTTTTGATCAACCATGTCTCAAACTCATGAGGTTTAAAATAAAGTCACCAGAGAAACCTTAAGGTTCTCCCTTTTTTAATATCCTTGTCAGTGTTTTGTACTGTTTCTTGAGGGAAGTGTGAAAGCTATACCTCTCTTGTTAAAATTATGGAGTGATCCCAATTAATAGAAGGCAGAGAAATTAGTTGAGACTAGACACATTTTAGGGAGGCAAATTTAGAATGGTTTATATGGGAAAATGTTGGATTAGGGAGTACATTTTAAAGATCTTTCTAGATTTTAAGCAAGTTAGGGTAAAAACTTGAATTGTCCATCTCATTCCCACTTTGTGGTGCAGGGGGAGCTTGGGTCCCTCAACTATTTGTAGTAGTAGTAATAATAATAGTAATTGTTAACATCTGTACTAGACTGCATACTAATTGCTACATACACATTATCTCATCTAATCTGCAAGTGTTATGTAGGTACTACAGTTATTGTTAATTTATAGAAGAAATACTTATAAAGTGAAGTCATTTGCTCAAGATCACATAGCTAGAAAGTGATCTGACTCAAAACCCATATTCCTAACCACTAGGTACCCTGTCTCCTCTCCAAATGGCTAACAAATTGATGTGAAAATTGCCTAAATACAAACTATATTGAGAAACTATACTGTTCCAGGAATGTTTTTATCTAAAGAAGAGAGGAAGCAAAGGGCAGTGATGGAGAGAGATTAAGAAGAAGAAGGGAGATTATAAATACAGCACTCCTATAGATTTTTCTTTATTGGTAGTAATATTTGATTTTTAAAGAGACATTTGGGTTATATATTTGAATAAGGATTTGTAGATGCTGTTATGTTTTTATTTATATATATGTAAATATATTTGTTTATAATATTTAATACTTATAATCTACAATAGAGACATCCTTTTAAAATTTATCTTTATTGTTAAAAGTATTACAGATTCCCCCACATTGACCCTTTCACTCCACTCCTGTGACACCCCCTGCCCCCAAGGGCTTCACTGCACTATTATCTGTCTGTGTCCATATGTGCTTATAAATTCTTTGGTTAATCTCTTTCTGCCTCCACCCCCTTCCCTCTGAGATTTTTCAGTCTGTTCCATGCTTCCTTGTCACTGGATCTGTTTTGTTCATCAGCTTATTTTGTTCTTTAGATCTAGCATGGAGAGGCATCTTGATACCATATTGTCCTTGAACTATTACTATAAAAAGATACTAATTAGATTTTTTAAATTCAAATTTTTATTAAGATGATCTGTTTTGTGCTGATTTACCAGTTGATTTGTTTAATAAATATATATTGAATTCTTACTGTGAGCTGAGCACTGTGCCAAGTGCTAGAGATTGATTTAAAGACAAGTAGCACACAACCCCTGCCTTAGCAGTTTTACCACCTAATGTGTGAGACAGTCAAGTGAACAGGTAATTATAAAGATAACTAAGCACAGGGTGTCGTGTCAGCACATAGGGAGGGACTGCCTCACTGTAGAGATCACACATGGCTTACAAGAAGGGGAGGCTTTTAGAATGTCCTGAATGATGATAGTCATTACCTGTCATGATATGTAGTCTTTCTATTGGTTGATTAACCATAAGTAAATTATTAGAAATACCAGGGGGATCTTTCATAAAATAACCAGTGCCTGGACCTGCCCCTAAAGATTCTGATTACTTTGTTTTGGTGGAACCCAAGCATGAGTATTTTTAACAAACTATAGAAATGATCCCTGAAAATATAGTTTTGCATGAGTATTTTTAAAAAGAAGCCCAGATATTTTTATGGGCTGCCATGGTTGGAAATCATTCAAATATCATTTCAGACACGGCTCCTAAAATGGTGTTGCTGACAAGACCATTTTATGTTGCTTAGAGAGAAGGTATTACTGGAGAAGGGAAGGGTTAAGATAAAAAAAAATAACTAATTGAAAATAGAGAAGCACAGATTTAAAAATATAAAAGCTAGTATTTCTACATTAAGATTAAACAATTTACCTAAGTAAGATTAATTGAATAAAATATTAAGATGGGTCTCATATTCTATTTAAAAATTCTAAGAGTATAAAATGGTTCCATGGATCTACTACTCAAAGTCCTGCATAGAAATATTAATACTAATATAAGACACACAGAAAAAAATATTTGTTCATCAACAGACACACAATTACTCAAATCTGAAAGGTTAGAATAGTCAGTTCCTGAAGGACTTGCCATGGGTTGATGAATGGAAGAGAGCAGATAAATGATAGTTACAGGTTAGCTTCATGGTTTTATAGGTGAGAATGGATGGGTAAAAGATTGTGAATGATTAGTGAATGTAGGATTCTAATTCATTATATTTACTTATAGGATAGACCACATTCATTTATTTCATTTCTTTGCAGTATCCCTATGAAGAGAAATTGGGTTATGTTTTTATTTTATTTTATTTATTTATTTTTTTCTAAGTAGAGAAAGCTTTAGAATAGAACTGGTGACATTTAAATTAATGCTTGATTAGTACCATCAGGAAAATTAACTGTGTGATATATAAAAGATTATGTTAGAATAAGATATTAAACTCCAGGAGATTTTTTAGTGTATAAATCCTTTTTACTTCATTTAGTTTGATTTTATTGTTGAGAAAACCGTGACTCAGGTTTGTTAAGTAAATGGTCCAAAGTAACACAACTAGGTAAAGGTAGACCAGTGTGGGAGACTGTTTGCATGGCATCCATTTTGCTAAAATCTGCTCTGCCATCTCCTGCCCCAAGGTAGGATACCTCTGTATACAATGTTTCTGCATTCCTTTAAGTCAGCCAATTATGCTCTGTTTATCTTTTGTTCCACCCAGGATATTTACGTGATATTTACCTGAAATTCCTTCGGGGTGGTTACCACAAACATGGCTTGGCAACAAATGTTCTTGTTTTTCTGCTTCTTGCCCTATATATAGTGTGGATCTCCCCAGAATAAACAATACTTGATCAGAGCCCTATCTTGTCTCCATTTCTGTGTCTCTTGTCCGTCCTCAACCTCATTCCCCCTCTAGAGTCCTCATTGCTCGACCTGCGGATGGGTCAGACCAGGACTAGATTTAAGGCATTTTGACATTGAGATCAGTGTTCTTTCCATTATAGCATACCACATTGCCTTTTATTTTTCAGAATTTTATTGTTCTTATAATTTGAGTTTTCTAGTCTAGTTTTATTTTGTATTACAATTTGTCTCCTGAAGGTCAAGTAACCTGGTTTGGTTATGAAAGTCCTCGAAGCTTCTGGGACTATATCAGAGTGGCTTGCCGGAAAGTTTCACAGAATTGTATCTGCAGCATTGAAAATACGGAAAATGTCAGTTCCTCTAGAGCTAAGGTAAGATGTGAATAATAATGTGCAATGTGTATAATCCTAAACTGTCATGACCCAATTACAAAATTTTGAGCTCTTACTTTGCTATGTAAAATATTTGTTTTCTTTTTTGTGTTGGAATTAAGCTCTTGACCAAATTTAACATCTTTCAGAGGCTTGTTTCCTTTTATTGCATATAGTTATTTTGGAATGCCCTTGAATCTTGACCGTTGCTTTATGAATGGAAGGAAGGTATGAAGCTAGTCACTACTGAGAAGAGTATCCTATTCTCTGAATTTTCTATATTTCTTGAATTACCTAAACCAGTGACTCTCGGTGTCCTGCAGAACCCTAGGGGCCCTAATGTCAACACTATTTTCCTGCAATAGCAAAATGTTATTTAACTTTTGCACTGTGTTGACATTTTAATTGCTGGTCCAGAAGCAATGATGCTTAAAATTGCTGGCCCCTTAGCACAAATTAAGACAGTGGCATCAAACTATACTAGTAATCATTGAGTTCTTCCCCACCATCAGCTTAGTCTTAAAAAAAAGAAGACTCTTCCCCACCATGAGCTCAGTCTTTAAAAAAAGAAGACTCTTCCCCACTCTCACCTCAGTATTAAAAAAAAAAGACACTTTCGCTTAAGAATGTCCATGACAGTGCAGTAAAAATTATCAAATTTTAAAATATTAACCTTTGAGTACCTGTCCTTTTCTGTTCTGAGTGACAAAATGGGAAGTATGCATAAAGCATTTCTATAGCATATTGAAATATGACAGTTGTGTCAAGGGAAGTTTCCGTGCAGTTGTTTGCTTAGTAAGCTGAACTAGATACTTTTGTCACATAATACTATTTTTATTTGAAATAAAATATAAAAACTATAGTTTTTTAAACTTTGACATTTGGTAGCCATTTCTTGAATAAAAATGAACAAAGTCAATGGATTACTTCAAGAAAATCAGCTGATGGTATTTTTTGCCAATAGTAAAATTAAAGCTTTTGTATAAAATCAGAATTTTTGAAAACTTCTATTCACCGTCTTAAGCTTGATAGTTTCCCAGTACTTGAAGACTTTTCTGATAACATTGATGTTAACAAATGTATTTTTTAATTGCTTAATTAAATGTGTCAACGTTTGGTAGACCTACATAACTCATATTTTCCATGTGACATATGCATGGAATTCTAAAATCATGCATTGGTATAAGATTTATTCAAAGTGCAGGATAGACCAAAGGATTTAATGTAATACAGTGTGAAAAGTTTATTATGTGGTTATAGAAGCCATGTTGCAGTTAATCTTTAAGAAATGATCACTTAGCCGAGTTTTGATGTAGAACCAAAGGAGAATATCCAGTTATCTGAAGAGGCTATTAAGAGATTCCTTTTCCAACGATATATCTGTGTAAAGCTGAATTTTTTTCATATGCTTCAACCAAAATGCTACGTTGTAACAGATTGAATGCAGAAGCAGATATCTAGTCCTCTATTATTAAGCCATACATGAAAGAAAAAATTGGAAAAACAGTCGCCTTTCTCACTAATATTTTTAAGGAAAATAAAATTTTTTCATAAGATACTTGCTTTATATTACTATATAATGACTTTAATAATTTTAAAGTCTCTAGTTTTGACTTATAATATAGTAAATATTGTAAAATGTCAGAGCTGCTGAGATAAACTATATCAGCTTTAGTTTAGGAGGATTTTTTTTTTTATTGGATTGTCACAGTAGCTTTCCTTACTATTGTTGACACTTAATAATTACAGAATGAAAATAAGTAGAAAATAAAGTTTGAAAATAGATATGTACAGTTTTAATATCAAGACATAAAGAAGTTCATTATTTCATAATTATAATCTAATAGATTTCATGTCTGAATAATAAACAAAAGTATAATAATCCTTTTTCAAATGTGCAGTTTCTAAGTTCATTGTTCCTGTATCCATTTTTATCTAGGAAATCTTTTATTCTTTTGAAAAAATTTTTGTTTGCAAAATTGACCAATATATATTAAAATTAAAATATTTTATAAGATATGAACTGAATATTTTTTAAAAACAAGATTTATAATATTTAAATTCAGCAACATAATTAGAAACATAGTTAAACAGCTTAAAATTCATAATATATGGAAGCGTATTTTTGGATAAAGTCAATAGCTATCTATGATTTTTGTCATCTTTTGAAGATGTAGAGTTCATTTTCTGAAACAGCTTCTCCCTGTTTCACAGTCTCTTGCCAATCTCTAATCAGGGGGTTGTCTGAGCAACAGTTAACTTTCTGCTTCAGTGTCTTCTAACTCTTTTATATTAAATCAGTTTTCTTCTGCCTCAGATATTTTTTAGGCCAATAAATGTCTTCATTTTTATGTCAATTATAATCATATTTTTTCTCATAGATGTTTAATCTTATTTTTTGTTGTGTATTAACAGGTTTCTTTTTAGGCACAATTATTGACTTAGTAGACTGTTGGCCTTCATTTTCTTGAATTATTGAATTTATTCATTTATTTACTTTCTAATTGTCTAATTGTCTACAGGTTTAAAAATGTGCAATTTAAATTCTCCTTTGCATCTTATTTGAGTTTGTATCAGTTTTCCTTATGGTTTAAGAATACTATCTTGGTTTCTGTAGATTAAGATGAAAAGACTAGCTATAATTTGGATGAATCGTCTATGAAAATAAAAAGTATCCAGGTGCTACATAAACTTTATCTTTTTTTTCAAATTAAAAGTAAGAAAATGAACATGACAAGTGTATTCTAAACTTTTTCAATATAGAAGAGAATATATTTATAGAACTAGCATACCTCAAAGTACAAAAGGTAATAGAAAGATTAACAAACATTAGAAATGTCACATTTGGACATGGATGGACCAAAGAAACCCAAACACTAGCTCACCGCTTCTCATTGAGACTCTTGGGATTAGGCTGTGCACAGCAAGATGCTGCCCAGCAGAGAATGTTAATATTTATTCTGTAAAAAAATGGTGTTGAATATCAAAACACCACAGAACAATCATGTTCCAAATCCTACATTTATGTCTTTGTTTTGAGCAGATCTCAAACAGATTCTACTTAGTGGGGAAAGAGAGATCTATGATTTGCCTGGTTATGCCCAGGAAAAAATGTACAGGCAGAGTGCCTCTGTCTTTATTCACTGCAGTGAGGAGAGAAAGTACTTGATTTACTCAGTAAATCACACCTGCCAAATGTCAGGATTGAAAGATTAAACAAATATCTCAGATGGCTAGTTTGTTGGGTCTTTGAGCTACAGTCTGGAGTGACTACTGGCATATATCGTACTCTCATCCAGCCTTGATGCTTGTGAAAACATACCAGAATTGAAGGACCAAAAGTACTTCCTGAGCAACATGCAATTCAGTGCACTTGGGCTCAAAACAGTAAGAGCTCCATTTTTTAATTCTAGGTAAGTAGCCAGATTGATTACACCTTTAGGGGTATGTGGATGATATTTTAAACTGAGGAAGACAAGATGCACTGTGGAGCAATGACTGATTCAGTATAGAAACAATCTTTAAATTTAGTTGAGTTGATTGAATCTGAACTGTGTTCTCGCACCACTGTACAATTTAGGTTCACCTTGTGGAAACTCGCCACCATGGGAGATCTGATACGTAGGCACTCGATCCTACGATCTATGAAATGCAGACCTTTCCCTTTCTTCTTTTAGTCTGTTACTAGTTGAACTTTCCTTTAGGGCCTAGAAATAGTCTAACAATAGAATAAAATATTTGAATTGAAGATCATGTCTTTGATCTTTCCATGCCAGGTATATTTGCATGTTTTTTCTACAGTATGCAGAGGTTCTAGGACATAGGATTTCTATACATCAAGTTTTTTTAGGTTTCAGTCTAGAATTCAGTCTCAGAAAAATAACCTCATCTTAACAGGCACTTATTTCACTCTTTTCTGAACTTTCCATTTTTCCCATCTGCTATTGGGCTGATTACTTATAAGCATAATGTATGATCTCTGACAGAAACTCCCCTAATTGTGTACTTAGTTACTGTTACTGTTAGTCTTGCAGATATCTCCACTGGATTTCTTAGTATTCCTGCTGATTTCAAGCTTGAGAAATCCTTTCCCCCCTTTAGTTGTTATATATTTTGGCCCCAAAGTATGAGCTCTGTATTGTTCTTGAGTTCTTCCTACCTTCCTGTATATCGTGTGTGTGTGTGCATGTTTTCTTTATTTTTAAGAAAAGTTATTGGTTTTGGCTGGATTTGGCTTTCCTAGTTTGTGGTTACTTACCCTTTACATTGAATTTGATATATTAGACAAATTTCTGAGTATACTAGTCACATCAACCATCCATATATCCATGCATCCCTCCATCTGATACATTTTTATTTAGCGCCTATACCATGTCAAAACTATGAATGTAGTCCTTAGTACATTCTAATGAAACATGTCCCTAATTTTTCCTAATCTTTTTGCGTCTTCTCATTATTTGCTTTTTCCCTTGCTCAGAAGATGATCTTGTCATTGCTCCGTTCCAGAGACAGGTTAGCAAATGTTCTACTGAAAGAGGCAGAGGCAGAGGGGTTATTAATCACAGATACACCAGAGTTATCAAATAGTATAAATTTACAATAAGATATGGTATTGCAAAGAGGCAATTTTATGATCATTTCTATTACAGATTTACAATGTTATCTCCTTTTTTAACCACCGCTTGACATTTCCCATCCCCAGTTCTTTATTGTGATGGCTCCAAATCTGGAAGAATGTCAGAAATACTTGGGGAGCTTTAAAATAGAAACAGTTTCCTAGGAAAAACCAGACATATTAAGAATCTGCCCATTTGTTTTACACTCTATCCATTTTAAATACTAACTTCATATGAATCTTTCTAAAATACTGTATTTTTCATATCATTTCTTTTATCCACTTCTAACAGGTGGCTCCATTGCCTAGTAGCTATAAGTAAGTTATTTACCTCCTTTAGTTTCAGTCACTTATTTAACTAGTATATACTGAGTGCCCACTGTGG